TGGGAGTCTAATTATTTGTGATACATGTTCCTACGTCAATCATTATTATTTCAAGTTAATTACATTACTTAGAAAAATCAAAACTAGGGTTTTGTGTATTTTAAAACGAATGTAAGTAGAAAATAAAACGAATCGGGTCGAACTTTTTCAAAATAGATTGGGTTTGAATTTTCTATAAATAAAAGTAACAGGTTATCTCGGGTAGTCTAACTTAATTATCCATTTATGTATAAGACGATTTAGAATGACTTCCTTCTACAAGTGGGATCAATTAGAGGCTTAGAGAGGATATGTTATTTAGAATGATTTCCTTCTACTATGAAATTTCTGATATTTAAACTCCTATAAAAAAAACTACTTGGATGGATGCGTAAAAATTTGCTAAAATGAATAAAAATAATAATATAGATTACAAAGATTCATCTATTTTATTTTCTTACATTTCCAACTTTCTAGTGGATAACCGAATATAATCGTAAAATTCGTTATACTCTCCTTAATAATTTAAAAAGATAATTTTCAAAACAAAAATTTTAAATTCTCACATGCTTCTTCAAAGTTTAGATCATTGAGTGAGAGCTTTTGCACTGTAGTACTACACAACCAGTAACTTTTGAAACATGTATGCATACAAAAGCAACTCAAAGAATATGTGTATAACAAAAACATAGAACATCTAATCTTGTCGAACAATGATATAATCAAACAATTTGAAAGGCCAAAATTAACAAATGTGACATGCATTTTAAATATATTTGTTTAAATACATGTAACATATATCAAATTGGCCCTTCAAGTCCTTTGATAATAATATTGTTTTACAATATTTGCAACTGTATTCTTTGCAATAACCACATTCTTTGAGTTCTTTACGTGTTTTTCTATGCATACATATTTTCAAACTTACGCATTGTGAAGTACTACCGTGCAGAGGCTATCTCTCAAGGAGAATAAACATTTGAAAAAAATACATAAGCTCATTCTAGAGTAATATAACAATTTAGGAGGAAAATTTGGGAACTCAAAAAAAAGATAGAGAAAGCAAAAGTTGGAATGGTGAGGAATTTAGTTGTTTTTCCGATCTTATATAATCGGTGAAAAAAGTCAAAAGAAGGAAAAAATATATAAATTGGTAATATTTATAATTTGTAGAAACATTTATTTTAAATATTTGTTTGAATTATTTTACCATAATATTGTACTAGTCAACAAAAAAAAATTATTATTTTTTTCCATTTTACCATTCTATTGTACAAGTTTCTAGTCAAACATATTATTATGTTTGACTGAAAAATTGGTATAATGAGAAAGATAATAAATTTTTTAGTTGACTAGTATAATATTATGGTAAAATAATTTGAAAAAATCTTTTGACTATGAAAAAATCTTTTGACTAGTATAATATGGTAGTAGGATAGATTAAAACGAATCTTTTGAATTTGGGGGAAATTATGCTTATTTCTATAAAATTTTGTTTTTGGTCAAACCATGTAAAACTTCATTATTAGTAATACTTTGTAATTATATGAAATAATTTTGAAAAACAACTAGATTGGGTACAGAGTATCAAGATCTCAGATATGTAGAAATTAGCATAAATTATTAAAATAATAATATTAACTACAAAAACAAAATTGTAAAATAAATTTCATATATTTTTTTAATTGATTCTAAAAAAAATTATTAGGGTTATTCTAAAAATAGCACACATATTTTCTAAGACATCAAAAAATATTTTTAATATTTATATTTACCATACATATATCCTAATAAAATTATATTTGGAAGTAGATCCAAATCAAATTTCGATATCTTAATCTTAAAATTAATTTTTTTGATCCATACGGAGAACTTGTATATGGAGAAATCTATTTTTAAAAAATTAAAAAATTTCATATACTTCTACCATTCAGATTGGATTGGACGAGGTATCAAATAGATTATTCTCCCACCCCTAAAGATGATAGATTTATAGATTAACAATTTTTCTTCGAAATAGTTTTATATGAAAAATGATTAAACAAAACATAAAGAACAAAAAATCAAACAAAAGAAAAGAAAACAAACAAACAAATTACCAAGAAGTAATTAAGAGATAATCATAGAATATTCATTGATAAAAACAACCAAACTTTTATGAAAATATTTGAAAACTTATAATGAAATCAAATGAATCTATAAAAAAGAAACGTTGTATTATTAGCGCATACCTTTCACAAATGGTTTAATCGAATTTGAATTCTCTTCATTGACACAATTGAAATTTCACACAAACTTGCTTAAGTTATGTTTCGAAATGTTTATTCTAAAAGAATCGGCGGATGCACACAGTAAATTTGATGAGTTGGATCTTTTAATAGAACAAAAATGTAACCTAAGTGAAACAAGGATTAAAACATGTCACACGACGTGTATATATATATATATATATATATATATATATTTTAAACGACATCGTTTGACATATTCTCAATTTTTATGTCGCCTAAGCTAGTTTTGGTAATGTAATATCTACCTTACAAAATGTTATATATCTCTTATTCAATTAGGGATTAATCCATTCATAAACCCTATTATAAATTTCCTAGGTTCTACAATAAATAAAATACCAAATCAAAAAAAAGAAGACTAGAAACGAACATTTTAGAATTGATATCAAGTTTCAATTTTCAAAGTATAGGTACTTTAGTGTAAAGCTCCTTGCAAATTCGACTATGCATAAGGTTTGGAGAAAAATGTTTAGAGGTCTATTATTAAGTTTTTTTTTTTACATAGATTCTATTTTTTAACATATTCACAAAGAAACAATATGCGTTGCATAAGTTTTTGTTGTTACAACTTCTAATACATATCTTACTTTTTTTGTACTATGACGCGATATGGGGAAAATCTTGTAGAACAAGTACTCTAGTTTTTGAAAGGCAAATTATTCACTTTCAACAGATACAGTGTAGGGTTACATCGTCTATACTGTTTGAGTTACACATCAGTGAAAGAAGAATTCCTTGTTGCGGCTGAAATTACATGTTAGAATTTGTCGCCACGATCTCTCCAAAATTTCTACATATTTAGACATTTAACCTTTAAAACGTGTTAAGTTGTCCATAATCGTTTGTAATTTTAGTATGTACTATATTACTCCATATCCACGAACAATCTTAATTTCGATCCCATGGATATTTAATATTGTACACTATTCAGTTTTAATTTCAAGCATCCTATGAGACAGTCACTAATTATTATTATTTTTTATTTTTTAGGTTATGTTAATAAAAGCATCCATTTATGAGTATATTTATAGTTAGTTATTACAAAATATATGGTCTTTTTTTTGTCAACAAAAATATATGGTCTTGGAACTCCATATTTACGATTAATCAATCCACCAATCACCTCATTTATTGATAGCTAAACAACATATATTTTAATGTTATTGCTTTCTGTACTATGTTATTTTATGTGATCTAGATATTATGAAACGTTCTAAGCAAAATTTATAATTATTGTTTGAGTAGTTTTTGTTCGTCTTAAGAATTAAAATTATAGTAGATGTGGAAAAATAATTCTGTTTTTATTGGTATAATCTTGATTTAGTAAATTTGACTATTTGAAAACAGATATCTATATTTACGTAAAAATATTTTATATTTAATTATATATGTATATATATATATATATATATATATATATATACTTTTTCTTGTTTTGTTAGAAGTTTTTGATTTTTTTTCTTTTAACTATATTATTTCCCAAACATAATATTAAAAATAAACTTCTTCTATATATTCAAGATCAAATTTAATTTTGAAATTATTTTATTAAAACATTTTTTATTACAATAATATAATTCATTTTTAATGAAAAAAAAATTATATGAAATACATAACTTTCATCAACCTCGTTTCTCTATTTACTATGATGTTTTCTCATTTTTCACATATTTGTTTGAATATTACTAAATAAATATAATTTTAAACATCTCACATATGTTAAATGTATATTGACATGTATTATACTCAGAAACAATTAATTTCTTGTATTGAAAGTTGCATAATTATATTACTTTTTGTTGACTTTAATTAAATAGGATGATACTATTTTATAAAGAGTTAAATTTGATTAGCTGTCAAAAACAAAAAAAAAAAATTATTGGAATAACAAAACAATTCAATATTTTTATCAACTACGTTTCCTATTTACTAAGATATTTTCCCATTTTTCACATTTTTGTTTGACTTTATTCAGTTATTGTTTGACTTAAATTCCCCTTTTAATAAATTGTTTTCTATTTTCTTATATAAAATATAAAATTCCCTAATATATAATTCTTTCGGAGTTATTTGGATTTCATTTTCATTGATTAAAAATACAAATCTAAACTTCTGAATCCAAAATCAAACTTAGTGTTTACAGATATTTAGATAGATATGAATTACAGTATTATTATGGAAACACTTTCAACTTCATATAATCAAAAGATTAGTGGTGACTCAGAGTAAAAACTAAGATTAGCTTAACCCATTTTACTAATTTATGGAACATCCACGATTGAGCTTAGTAAAGATTTAAGAACTAATAACTAAACCTATCTATTACCGATGTGGAACACTAAACAAGCATATCACACTCAACTTCAGTTTTCACTTTTCAATTTTCATTAGACCAAAACATTTGACCATTTAGTCAGTTAGAATCGATACAATATAATTATACCGAACTCAACCGGAAAAGACAAAAGAGAATAGAAAAATGACCAAAACTTTTCAGTATGTAAAGGCATATCCAAAAGTTAAAAAGAAAAATTCAAGATTGTTCAGAAATGATGAGCTTGAGTTTTGCTTTGGGTCTTGGTGATGATTCTGATGCTTCTTCATTTGCATTCTTTTTTCGGATTTGTATTCTTTTGTGTTTGCCTCAGTTTCCTCCTACAAAACAAAAGCAAAAATATTTTTAAATTTTAACATTACAAATTCCAAATATTTTTGTTTTGAAGTATCACATTGTTAATTGCTTCTTTATAAGAATGACCTACCTCTTGGAAGAGATATATTTCTCTATCTCTGGTTTCTGCTCAGGCTTAAAAGCTAACCATCTTTCATGTGGACATAAATCATCAAATGTTCCTAGATCTGTACATTAATAAGATTGAGATTAAATTACTAAATATATATGAATAAGAAACATAAACAAAGAGTTTAGTAAATTTAAACCTTGAAGCAAAAAAATTTGTTCTTCTTCAAAACACTTCAATTTCCAGATAACAAAACCATTATCATCCAACATGATTGGTTCCGTTCTACGCACATCACATATAACCGTCACTGCAAATAGATTTCATCAAGTTTTAGAAAAATATCTAAGATAACATTTGCTAGACACAAAAAATAAAATAAAGACTCTTAAGAATTTAGACTTACTTCCACATTTCATGCCCTTTGCCTCTATCATTTCTTCATGAGCTTCTTTAGCTTCATCTTTTATTTGAGACACGACTGAGTTGTGTTCCTCAATAGACAATGGAGCTCCGTTTTTCTCCATAATGGCTTTGGCAACCTCACCTTGCAACATTTGTTTGAGCTCCTTCTCCTATAAAGACAAAATGAGCTTTAGCACAAAGAGTTGATACATAAATCCATCTTACAAAATACCTTTTCTTTTGCGGCTGCAGCTTTTTGTTTAGCTTCTTTTTTCTGTTCTCCACACTCTCTAGTTTGGCTTTTAATGTAATTCCTCATTGCCCTAGAAAAATTTCACACAAGTTAACTCATAACGAAGCATAGAATAAACTACAAGAAAAGTTGATACTAGCATATAAAGATTCACATACCATGTGCTAAGTGATTCATCACATAAGAAATTTAGAAGCTTGAGCTTTCTTGATGCATTCATCTTCTCATACGCAGCAACACCCGCTACAAAAGTTTCAAGTGGGAACTCATCACTCAAAACTTTCGACTGCAATATGATCTCTCCAATAGCAGTGAACCAACTGTTGTCCGTTGCACTTAGAGACAAAGACCTATAATAAATTCAAATACATCAGAAACAAGAGAGAAAAATGGTATATATATATTTCTGGACATAAAGATAAACACTCATACATTTCTCTATCCTTTGATATTAAATCCAGCAATTGGATCATCATCTGGATAATAGAGGAGTATTGTTGTCTCCTTGTGTCACGCCCACATACAAACAACTCACGGACAATAGTTTCAGCATGTTCTTCCTTCAAAGCAAGAGCCTATCATAAAAGTAAAAAAATGAATCAGATTTAGAGTAAATAACTATAGATCATAACTTGATTAACAAGCTATAGAGAGAAAATACTATACCTTTCGAAAAGCTGAGCAAAACTCGAAAAGCTGACATACATTTCCAGCTTCTTCAGTTGGTATATCAATGCTTGAAACACAAGTCAAGCTTATACCCTGAGGAAGTTGAGTCTCAAACTGAATATCCTCTTTCAGTTTGTCACTGGATTTGACTTTTTTCTTCTTCTCCTTGGCAACATCTGTTTTATAACGGTAAAAACCGTTAGCCTCTTCTTTATATAAGACAACTTACAAAACACAAATCTTAAATTCTCACCTATTATTCTCACTTTTGTCCCTGGAACAGATTCACTATTGCTACTACCTTCATTGGAAGCATTAACCTACAGAAACCGTATTGATCAAGTAAGCATAATAAAATAAAATAAAATTAAAACAAAACCTAAAGATCCCTAAAACCAGGATTTGTATTCAATACCAGTTTTGGCTTCTTCTGATAAGCAAACTTATCATGCCCTTCAACTTCAAGAAGTTCATAGACTGATAATCCACGGGCTTTAGCTTGGGGTGCCAAAATCCCAGTGGGCTGTTGTCCTCGGCTTGTTCTGAAAAATCCTCACAACCATTTTTTAGAAAAGCTCTCTCTTTCATTGATAAAGGTCATCTTAAAGACATGTAGTTACCTGCACACACTGCAGATACAGATGCCTCTACATAGTGGACACATCCAATCATCCAGCTTTGCTACTTCTTCTGCATTTTCACCATACCTATGATTCAAATCAAAAACACATAATAAGAACACATAATCTCAGAGAAAAAAAAACTTAATTAAAGAAGGAAAAAAAAAACGAACCTGTTTGATAAGCATTTATAACAAAACTTAATGGGACATAGCTTGTTCTTCTTCATGACCTTGCATGGTGCAGCAAAGTCAAGAGTCTTTTGTCGACACTACAAAGAAATTAAACAAACCAACATTTTAATAAAAGAAAACGAAACTTTATTATCTAATAAAGAATGAAAATTGAGAATCTTTTTTTATTTTTTTTGTGCAAAGAAAATTGAGAATCATAATTATGTTTTACCTGGTGACATGATTTGCCATTTTTGGAGTCATATATTCTTCGTCCGATGACTCTAACACCGGGATTGGTTTCACGCTTCCTCGCCATAACAACAGTAAATTACAACGTAAAAAGCGGACTTTTCGGAATAATAGAGAGTGTAAAGAACTATATCGATAGAGAAATAATGGGTTAGAGAGTATGGAAGAAATTTAAGAGGAAGGTCTAGAGGATTTAATAAGAGAAGATTAGAAAACAAAAGTCGAATTGAGTATGGAATCTGAGAGGTGTTTCTCTCTTCTTAAATAATAGGTTCAAAGTTCAAAAAAAGGGAAAAAAATATTCAAATGGCAATTTGTTTTTCATTAGAAGTTTTCAGATTTTTATCTTTTTATTTGACTTTTTACTATTTTATGTTAAAGCTATGATTGGTATTTATTTTTGGATTTGTAAAAAAATCTTTATTTCTTTTTTTGTAAAGTAAATTAGCATAATAAAATTAAGAAAATGTAAATTGACTTTGACTAAAAAATTATATAATTAAATATAATAGTGAAATAAAGAAAGGTAAGATATTTTATTTGACTTGTATAATAGGAAGGTAAAATAATAATTAAGAAAGAATCTTTAGATTATGCAAAATCTATGGACATTCATGTAACCTACTTATTTTTTGGTCAAATCATGTAGCACTTAATGGTGATTAGATTTTTTCTCTTTTCTAAAAATAGTTTTTCTTCATTATTAGAATTCAAATAAAAATTTCTTACATTTTCTTCATTTCACTATTACATTATTTACTAGAAATTTTTAGTCAAAGTCAATTTTATATATTACCATGAAGTGCTACATGATTTGACCAAAAAATAAGTAGGTTACATTAATGTCCATAGATTTTGCATAATCTAAAGATTCTTTCTTAATTATTATTCTACCATCCTATTATAGAAGTCAAATAAAATTTTTTACCTTTTTTACATTTCACCATTATATTATATAAATTTTTAGTCAAAGTCAATTTCTATTTTTATTTCATTATGCTAATTTACTTTACAAAAAATAATAAGAGATAATGTTTCTACAAATCCCAAAATTAATACCAATTAGAGATTTAACATAATATAGAAAACAGTCAAATAAAAGGATAAAAATCTGAAAACATCTAATGAAAAACACACTGTCATTTTGAATATTTTTTCCCCTCTTTTTGAAAATTTAAACTATTATGTAAGAAAAAGGAAACACCTCTCAGATTCCACACTCACTTCAACCTTTGTTTTCTAGTCTTCTCTAATTAAATTCTCCAAATCTTCCTCCTAAATTGCTTCATTACTCTCTAATCAACCATTTGTTTTATTATGGAAATTTGTTTTCAAAATAAAACTAATAGATTTCGTTTATACAAATCCCAAATTCTACACCAATAAGAGCATTAACATAAAATTGAAAACAATACTAAAAAGGATTATATCTGAGAGAATTTTAAATATATTTTCCCTCTTTTGGACATTTAGAAATTTACAATAAAATTTTATTATTATTAAAGATGTCATCAAATTTTTTCAATATATATTTTAATCATTTTAAAACATAAAATATATATCATGGTTAAAATTAAAACACAATTTTATTTATTTTCAACAAAATATAATTATAAATTATATTTTCATACATATATACATGTATATATTATATTTGGAAGTAGATCCAAGTCGGATCTGAATATCCTGTTTTAACAAAAAAAAATTGGATCCAGATCCGGAAGTTTCATATATCATCTTTCAATCATATTGGATTAAGATTTCAGATATTTTATCTTTTCATTTGAAAAATTCAGGAGTCAAAACATAAACATCAAGCAATCAAACTAATAATAATATAAAAAGATTAGCAAATATTTTTCAATAATAAGACAACCAAAAAATTATGCAAATATTTAAAAACTCTAAATAAAATCGACTGAATGTAAAATATCTTAAACATTGTTACATTATCACATACCTTTGGCAAAAGAATTCAATCGAATGTTAGATTTCTTCATTGATGCGATAAAAAAAGCACAAACTTTCTTATGATGTGTTTTCGCTATGTTTGTTATAAAGAAAAGTACAGCGGCTATGAAAACATAAAACTGTGATTTGGATCTTTTTATAGAACAAGAATGTTAACCTAGGTGACATAAAGATTGATACATGCCAAACGACGTCGAATAGATTAGTATTTATTCGACGTCGTTTGGCATGTTTTAATTTTGTGTTGTCTAGGTTAACTTCTAGTTCTATAAAAAGATCTATACGACGTCGTATACAAGTTTATCTAACGCTAATCTTTTAATATATTATACGATGTCGTTTGACATGTTTCAATCTTTGCTTCGCTAAGGTAAATTTTTGTTCAGCAAAAGATTATCTAATTCACAAATTTTTTGTATCACTAAAATCTAGCTCGGTTAATCTATCCATACAGTTTTTTTTGTAAATAAAATCCCAAAACAAACAAAATTAAGAAGAAAAAGGAATGACATTCAAGAATTGATGTCAAGCTTCGATGTTTTTTAGTGTAAGGATCATCATAACTTCGATTAGGCATAAGATTTGGAGGATTTTTTTTTTCAATCCCTATTGCAATCTGATAGTAATCAAACACAAGCAAACAAGTTAAAAAAATAGCTATCCTCCAATTGAAAATAAATTTAAACGAACAGAATGTCAAAAATCTCTTACCTGAGCAAAAGCATTTCCTTTATCATATTCAGTGACACCATAGTTATATGTCAGTTCTAGGACAGGAAATTTATCTTCTGGACCATATCCCATCATGGCTATTGTGTACTGCAAATAAACATTTACGATATGATAAAGATAATGCCAAAAGTTTGCAAATTCAAAACGCGATATTCAAAGCTCTTTCCATCAATATGAATCTATCTCAACACAACAATATCTAAGGTGGACAATGGACTTTATAGTCACAACGAGTTGTTGGGAGCGAGTCTGATTATTTGTGATACATGTTCCTACGTCAATCAATTTTTTTTTTTTTTTTGTCAACAGCTTAAATGAAATAGATGATCAAAAGAGCCATTCCTGGGGAATGTTGTTTACATAAGTGATATGATGCGGTTCGGTACGAATTTTTCGTGCCAAATTATCCGCTTTTACATTTGCGCTACGCGGAATTAAAGATATTGATTTGCGCTACGTCAATCAATATTATTTCAAGTTCATTACATTACTTAGAAAAATCAAAAGTAGGGTTTTGTGTATTTTAAAACGAGTGTAAGTAGAAAATAAAACGAATCAGGTCGAATTTTTTCAAAATGGATTGGGTTTGAGAATTCTATAAATAAAAGTAACATGTTATCTCGGGTAGTCTGACTTATCCATGTATGTATAAGAAGATTTAGAATGACTTCCTTCTACTAGTGGGATCAATTAGAGGCTTAGAGAAGATGGGTGATTTAGAATGACTTCCTTCTACTATGAAATTTCTGATATTTAAACTCCTATAAAAAAACTATTTGGATGGATTCATAGAAATTTGCTAAAATGAATAAAAATAATAATATAGATTACAAAGATTCATCTATTATATTTTCTGACATTTCCAACTTTCTAGTGGGTAACCGGATATAATCGTAAAATTCATTAAACTCTCCTTAATAATTTAAAAAGGTAATTTTCAAAACAAAAATCTTAAATTCTCACATGCTTCTTCAAAGTTTAGATCGTTGAGCGAGAGCTTGTGCACTGTAGTACTACACAACCAGTAACTTTTGAAACATGTATGCATATAAAAGCAACTCAAAGAATATGAAAATAACAAAAACATAAAGCATCTAATCTGTCGAACAATGATATAATCAAAGAATTTGAAAGGCCAAAATTAACATATGTGACATGCATTTTAAATATATTTGTTTAAATACATGTAACATATATCAAATTGGCCCTGCAAGTCCTTTGATAATAATATTGTTTTACAATATTTGCAACTATATTCTTTGCAATATCCGCATTCTTTGAGTTCTTTACGCGTTTTTTTTTTTTTTTTTTTTTTGAATAACCGCGGGTCTCCCAAAGGCTTCCTAGGCCCAAGGACTAATCCCACGAGGCTGGCAATTCCCCTATGTAAACCTGCCAGTGGCCGTGCCTCGAACCCTGGTGGCGGAAGTCACAGTTGTGACCCCTTTACCACTAGGCCACAAGGCCCGGTTTTTTACGCGTTTTTCTATGCATACATATTTTCAAACTTACGCATTGCGAAGTACTACCGGGCAGAAGCTATCTCTCATGGAGAATAAACATTTGAGAAAAACACATAAGCTCAATCTAAAGTAATATAAAAATTTAGGAGAAAAATTTGGGAACTCAAAAAAAATATAGAGAAAGCAAAAGTTAGAATGGTGAGGAATTTAGTTGTCTTTCCGATCTTAAATAACCGGTGAAAAAGTCAAAAGAAGGGAAAAAAAATATAAATTGGTAATATTTATAATTTGTAGAAACATTTATTTTAAATATTTGTTTGAATTATTTTACCATAATATTGTACTAGTCAGACAAAAAAAATTATGATTTTTTTCCATTTTACCATTCTATTGTACAAGTTTCTAGTCAAGCATATTATTATGGTTGTCTGAAAATTGGTAAAATGGGAAAGATAATAAATGTTTTAGTTGACTAGTATAATATTATGGTAAAATAATTTGAAAAACAATTATGACTATGAAAAAATCTTTTGACTAGTATAATATGGTAGTAGAATAAAATTAAAACGAATCTTTTGAATTTGGGGGAAATTATGCTTATTTCTATAAAATTTTGTTTTTGGTCAAACCATGTAAAACTTCATAATTAGTAATACTTTGTAATTATATGAAATAATTTTAAAGAACAACAAGATTGGGTACGGAGTATCAAGATCTCAGATATGTAGAAATTAGCATAAATTATTAAAATAATAATATTAATTACAAAAACAAATTGTAAAATATATTTTGTTTAAAATTTTAATTTATTTTAAAAACAATTATTAGGGTTATTAAAAAAATACCACACATATTTTCTAACATAGAAATATTTTTTTAATATTTATATTTATCATACATATATTCAAATAAAATTATATTTGGAAGTAGATCCAAATCAAATTTCGATATCTTAATATTCAACATTGAATTTTTTTGGATCCATAC